GYGMWWAATAMATAARTAATACAATACAAATTGAGATTGATCATGAAGACCTTTTGTGGGAGAGCTAATCCAACCACTGGTTCGATGGAGTGGTTAGAAGAGGGTGAGGACTATGACTACCACCAGGAGATTGCGAGGTATGCTCAGAAAGTAGTTGCTTGTTCCCTTAAAGACACCAAAAAATGAGCAAATCCAGCTGTTTTTTAATGACAGTTTGGGGGTCTGTCTTTGTAGAAGTTCCAAGGGCATGAGGTGAACAGACTGTAGAATGGTCTGATTGTCAGTAAATGGGGCCCAGTGATGTACAAGGCAGAACTGTCAGTGTAAAACGTTGTAAACTATTCTCCCAAGTAGTTTCCTTCTAATTTTTTTAATGTTTTCCTTGGGGCTCATCATGATATTGGCAATGACAGAGTTGTCATTGCATTGCAAATTGCATTGACTAAATGTCTTTTAAAAGCAGGTTTAAATGCAACAAACAGCCAGTTGTCTGTTCCTGTTCTAGCTTTTTAAGACCTTCATGWAACAGCCAGAAAAGGTGGGAGGATGTATTTTGGGGTACTTTTGAGTAGTGCAACTCATGAAGAAACRGGGACCAAAGAAGTTTAAATCTTGGTAGTAAACAATAGGTTATTTTTAGTCTGTCTTTCATTGCCCAGTATGACTCTATATCTGTTCCAGGTGGTACTTCACAGCTGTTTGTTGATAGGTCTATGCCTTGGAGAGGATTTGTGCCCATGGTTCATGAGTTCATGTAAAAGCTAATTTCAGATGCTCAAAGAGTGTGTCAGTGTTTTTGCATTTATGGGCAATGGGGGCCAGTTGCTCTGCAGAATGGAGTATTTTAAATGGCATGTTTTTTATGGCAGGTCACGCTATGCAGATATGCTTCACGATAAGGACAGAGTAAGTACAGAGGCAAAAGCCATTTCATTTCTCTTGAATAGCTGTCACTGCATGTTATATAGGTTTTTCTGAAGAATTAAATGATGACGTTGTGATGTACTCTAAGGTACCAGACATGCTCTTAGATCAACAGATRCCTTCTTACATCTGACTTTACTGTTCTGTTGTTTTCTGCAGTACATTTTTATATTCAGTAGCTCATTTTGCTGTTCTGTGTTTAACATTTTTGACAGAGAGAACTCATTAGATGAAATTCCAAAGGCTGTAAAAGTGAAGCTGGGCATCTTAGTTTCTGTAGGAGTGTAAATGAAGTCTGGCTTTATTATTCTGTGTTTTATTCTGCCATTTATACAGTCGAGGAAGTCTGGAGTGAATAGTTTAAATGTTTGTTSTGCTCTAGCTGTTGGTCAGCCATTCCATCAGTAATCTTTTGAGAGACTTTTGTAGGGCCTCCACAATGAAGCTCGAATTCATATGGAATTAAAACATGTCAATGGGATCAGGCATTTAATAAGCCATGCAGAGATAGCAGTTGTGTCTGAGTAATTACAACAGCTATATTGGAATGATATGTATCAAATTTGTTAACTAGAATTGTTCGCAAAGGAGTCCTGCAGACCTTCCAAAATGAGTTGTGTTTTCCTTGGAAATGCCTGATAAATCATTGGAGAAGAATGTCTTAGGATAGGTTTTTATAAAGGAAATATTAGCATACGTATCAATCTTTGTCCTGTAGCTGACAGGTGATTTGGTTCTTTTCTGTTGTTAATGCTGGTTTCCTTATAGCTCCATTCAATGGGATGTGACCAAAACCCAGGATTTGCACTGGTTAATTCTCATGTATGAACCTTTATCGGTAGATGAAGAGAGGAATCCAAATCCAAGATACTTTAGCTCTTGTACTGTCATAGGAAATATAAGACTATTTGAGAGGTCCTGCAGCAGAAAATTAATCAGAAAATCTGTGGTATTTCCCATGGATCTTATTGTTATTTGCTGCAGAAAATATATCATRTTTGGAAATCATACATATGCTATGAATAGCTGATTGACCAATGATAATATGAACTCTCTAAAGAAAATTGATGTATTTTTAATGGACTGGTCCTGCCAGATGAACTGCCAGATACAGTTGCTGTGGCTGAAGATGGCTTTGGTGTGGCTGTGTGGCATAAAGGGTGTCTGTAGGCCTTTTTCTCATTATAAACTCACTGTCAGAGAATGCAAGGTTTCCACACAGAAATTAAAASTATAAATGGATAAAAGGTTGCTGATGTTTTTATTCTCCACAGAATGTGAAGTACTACCAAGGTATTCGTGCWGCAGTGAGCAGAGTGAAAGAGAGAGGTGAGAAAGCCATTGTGCTGGACATAGGGACTGGCACAGGACTCCTGTCCATGATGGCAGCTTCAGCTGGGGCRGATTTCTGCTATGCAATTGAGGTGAGCATTTGTTAACACTTGCACCTGTTCTGCATTTGTGTTCACAGCTGCTTTCTTTAGCTTCAGTGCACCATCAGTGGACTGGCTGCATTTGTTATTTTTAATTGAGCCTCTTGCGTCAAAACCACTTGAGTCTTAAAAGATCATAGTGGAAAAGGTGTAGCACATTTTTTATTTTTAGGACAGTTTCTGTAAATGTACAGATCARGATTTCTAAGCACATTTCCTTTTATTCAATTTTATCTAATTTTTATCAAAATTCAAGTATGATATTGTACTTTAACCAAGTTTTTGAAAGATGTATTTTCTACACTGCTGCTGTTCACAGGTGTTCAAGCCCATGGCTAATGCTGCTGTGAAGATTGTGGAGAAAAACGGTTTTTCTGACAAGATCAAAGTAATCAACAAGCATTCCACTGAAGTCACAGTTGGCCCAGGTGAGAAAAATAGGYTAGGCTTAAAATAATTGGCAAGTACCTGAAGGAGTACTCATTCTTTGTACATTTTCAGTTAAAACAAGCTAATCCTTTTGAAGGGGCTGGAGCATGAGTCCKTTGAGAGCAGCTAGCAGGGCTCAGCCTGGTGAAGAGGGGGCTCAGGGGAGACCTTATCTCTAYAGCTGCCTGAAAGGGGGTTGTAGCCAGCAGAGGGTTGGTCTCTTCTCCTAGGTAACAAGTGACAGGATGAGTGGAAATRGCCTCAAATTCTGCCTGGGGAGGTTTAGATTGGAGATTAGGAWTTTTTTTTGCCAGAAAGGGTTGTAAAACATTGAACAGACTGCCTAGGGTAGGGGGAGTCACCATCCCTGTAAGTGTTCAAAATCATGTGATTATGACATTTGAGGACATGGTATAGTGATGAACATGGTGATAGTGCTGGGTTGTGGTTGGRCTTGATGATCTTTAAGTTYTTTTCCAACCGTAACAATTCCATGATACTTTACACTCTAAAAAGTAACACTAGAGATTTACTTTAAAGTTCCTAGKAGTATTTCAGTAGTCATTTGTATTTCAAATGGAAAATAATTTCCAGTCTTAGGCAGATTCCCTAACAGGAACAAATTTTTTATTACTTGTGTTTTCAGGATAACATCTTCAGAAACACTTACATAAAGTCTTAATATTGCAATATTAATTTGTGTCTCTTAGATGGAGATATGCAGTGTCGGGCAAACATCCTGGTAACAGAATTATTTGATACAGAGCTGATAGGAGAAGGAGCTTTACCAWCCTATGAGCATGCACACAAATACCTTGTACAGGTAAGAAAATAGGAGGTATGTCACATCTATCAGTAGAGAGATTCTTCTGCCTGTTTTGAAGTAGGCTAGAGATTATACGGAATTTAGGCTTCTGTATCCCTTGGTAAATACACCATAAGCTCTGCTAGATTCTTATTCAYTGAATAATTTACTAGATTCATTCCTAGAATAAATCACAGGCTCTGAAATTACACCTGCTTGTTTTGCKTTGAAACCAATAACTTGCTGGTTAACATCTTTCATAAAGGCATTCAGTTCTGATTTGAAGCTTTCCTTAGTAACRTCTTTGTTCCAAGATGTTTTTAAAAAATTAATTCTCCTAAATTTGATGGGCTTCACCTCCCAGCCATTGGTTCATTATTCGTTGTTTGTTTTTTCCTATGTTACTCTTGCTACTCCATATGTGAAAATATKTTAAACAATGTATTTAAATTAGTTGGGGTGTTTTGGACGTATGATCTGTAGGTAAAATTTTAGTGCTTTCTCTTTTTTTTTAATGTTTCCCTTTCATTCATATGTGGATGGCAAAAATTTATTTAGGTTTCTAGGTTTCTTTTCACCACTTTACATATAAAGAAAATAGCACTCCACAACTTCGTTCYGCTCTCCATATATAACTCTACATTGCAATTAATCTTTTTTCTATTAAAGTATTGTTTTTGGGCTTTGTAGCTTGCTCTTAGTTTATAGTGGGATTTTTAGGACAACATATAT